CACAAGTCTCTGGTGCCTAGGCGGTCATGCGTGCAAAGTTTCGTGCTAAACCGACGTCGTTTGGTGATTTTGGGGCGTTAACATCTCGAATTTAACTTTCTTAAGGAACTAGTTTGCCTAGACCAAAATCCGACTCTAACTCCCAAACCGGGAACCCGATTCGAGCCCCGTTTTCTCACACAAGTCTCTCGTTCCTAGGCGGTCGTGCGTGCCATGTTTCGTGCTAAACCGACGCCGTTTGGTGATTTTGGGGCTTTAACACCTTGAGTTCAAGTTTCTTAAGGAACAAGTTTGCCTAGACTGAAATCTGACTCTAACTCCCAAACCGGGAACCCGATTCGAGCCCCATTTTCTCTCACAAGTCTCTCCTGCCTAGGCTATCGTGCGTGCCAAGTTTCATGCTAAACCGACGTTGTTTGGTGATTTTGGGGCGTTAACACCTCGAGTTCAAGTTTCTTAAGTAACTAGTTTGCCTAGAACGAAATCCGACTCTAACTCCCAAACCGAGAATTCGATTCGATTCCCGTCTTCTCCCACAAGTCTCTCGTGCCTAGGCGGTCGTGCGTGCCAATTTTCATGCTAAACCGACACCATTTGGTGATTTTGGGGCGTTAACACCTCGAGTTCAAGCTTCGTAAGGAACTAGTTTGTCTAGACCGAAATTCGACTCTAACTCCCAAACTGGGAACCCGATTCGAGTCCCGTCTTCTCCCATAAATCTCTCATGCCTAGGCGGTCATGCGTGCTAAGTTTCGTGCTAAACCGACGCCGTTTGGTGATTTTGGAGCGTTAACACCTCGACTTTAAATTTCTTAAGGAACTAGTTTGCCTAGATCGAAATCTGACTCTAACTCCCAAATCGGGAACCCGATTCGAGCCCCATCTTCTACCACAAGTCTCTCGTACCTAGGCGGTCGTGCGTGCCAAGTTCCCTGCAAAACCGACGTTTTTTGGTGATTTTGGGACATTAACACCTCGATTTCAAGTTTCTTAAGGAACTAGTTTGCCTAGACCGAAATCCGACTCTAACTCCCAAACCGGGAACCCGACTCGAGTCCCGTCTTCTCCCACAAGTCTCTTGTGCCTAGGCGGTCGTGCGTGCCAAGTTTTGTGCTAAACCGACGCCGTTTGGTATTTTTTGGGGTGTTAACACCTCGAGTTTAAGTTTCTTAAGGAACTAGTTTGCCTAGACCGAAATCCAACTCTAACTCCCAAACCGGGAACCCGATTCGAGTCCCGTCTTCTCCCACAAGTCTCTCGTGCCTAGGCGGTCGTGCGTGCTAAGTTTCGTGCTAAACCAACGCCGTTTGGTGATTTTGGGGTGTTAACACCTCGAGTTCAAGTTTCTTAAGAAACTAGTTTGCCTAGACCGAAATCCGACTCTAACTCCCAAACCAGGAACCCGACTCGAGCCCCATCTTCTACCACAAACCGGGAACCCGATTCGAATCCCGTCTTCTCTCACAAGTCTCTCGTGCCTAGGTGGTCGTGTGTGCCAAGTTTCGTGCTAAACCGATGCCGTTTGGTGATTTTGGGGCGTTAACAGGTTCAACAAATGTAAGTATATAAATATGATTTGTATGTTTACATATCATACATATAACTTATTTGTATACCTCAGCATCGGAAGTACGCCAATACTCCATAAGTTCTTCCCACTGGTTTGGCACAATGTGCAAAGGAACATCATCCTTTAGATTAGGATCAGAACTTCTAGGCTTGAAATACTTAACCTTAATCTTGTTCTTGTGATCCTTCCATATGCTGTTGCAGCTTTTCATGCAGATTGGCTTGTACTCCTTTGGACATATATTCAAATTGTCCTATAAAACACAATTTCAAAGTTTAAATAATAATAACACAATTTTGGGATTCGAATTTTTGGACAAAAATATACTACATTCACATCTTTCCAAATAGCATCAACAATATCATCAGGCACATTTTTCCAGTCAAGAAAAGTAAGAGGAACAATGTTACCATTCCGCACAATAATGCCAAGTTGAGTAGTTAACTTAGCCACGTTATCCCCTATTGGGCAGTTATTTTCATCAAGTTGTATGTCCAGCTTTTTACCAGTCCCCCACTCCCTAATGCCCTTGGCACATCCTCTACCACGCCTAGTCGAGGTTGATGAAGAACTAACATGAACTGCGAGATACAATAACAATAAACAATATGCATTAATAATAAACAAATGCAAATTTGAATAATGTGAATACAACTCGAATTCTTATACCTGAGATGGGCTGTGAAGAAGTCGAAGGGTCTGCAAAATACAATGAGAATAAATAAATGTATGTTTAAATAATTTTCATACAAATCAAAGCAAATTTATATACCTGCGGATGGCTCATAAGCTGATGATGATAGCTGCTGTGGTGCCATTGATGGTGGACGCACCGATGGTAGGCGTGGAGGCTAAGTACATGGTAGTTGCTGTGGTGCCACTGATGGTGGTCGATGCGGTGGTACTAATGGCCCCTCTAATGGTGGTCGCTAGGATGCCTCCTCTAATCGTGGTGCCAGAATAGTGGTCACTGCGATGGCTGGTCAGATGGTGGTGGCACTACTGGCCGCTCCGATGGTGGCCGATGTGATGCCTCCTCTAATGGTGGTGCTACTGATGTCCTGTTATGTAGCACATCAGACATCATCCGCCGGGGATGATCAGGCTTCCTCTTCCTTCCCATAATAATCTGCAAACAATATAACATTAATTGACATTGGAAACATAGACAATGGTTTGTCATCAACTATAATATGACATTAATTGAACTAATACAATTACAAAGACAAAGTAAATTAAGAAACTGAAGATTAACTATAACCTTGGCCTTAATTGAATTACTGATGTTGATTAAATATCAGCCTATTTGAACATCAACTGTTTCCCCTTCTGCGGCTTCCCTCACCCAACCAACTTCTTCATCACGAAACATTATATTTTCTTCCAATTATTGGCTCATATATGGCTCGATTTGTGGATCAGTCGAACTCATATCAAATAAACCTCTTTGAGACATCTTTACCACCACTTGCCAGTCTGGTTGTAACGGGTCTGCAACATACCAAACTTGCTCTGCTTGGGATGCCAAGATGAAAGGTTCATTGGTAATTCGATCATCTCGGTACAACAAATGATTGAAGTTCGCCAACGTGAAATTGAAGACATCTTCTTTCTTTCCGTGAATGTTGTCAATCCAATCACACTTAAACAACACATGTTTCTTCTCATTGGAATATCGAATCTTAACAATATCTGTCAATTGTCCATAATAGTACACAAACCCCACACGAGGATTCTTGTCTTCCCGACTAGCATAACTTATGGTATCTGTCTTCAAAGCTACACCACAATTTTGTGTGACTCGACGATCATCCATGGCATTTACTCGATATCGAAACCCATTCAGTATATACCCGTTGAACATCGTTGCCAGGTTATGAGGACCATTTGCTAATAGAATAATCTCTTCAGAAAATATGACATCAGTAGTCCTTCGCAAAGTTTGGACCTATTTAACACGAAAATGTAAAATTTAAAATGTAGATCGACTTAAGTAACTAGAATCTATAGAGTTAAATACATACATGTTCCTTGAACCAAATGTGAAAAGTTTCAAAATGTTCAAGCCGAAGTTGATGATCGTCGACACGAGGCATTTTGAGCTTAAGTACTTCAAGGTGTTTACTGTGTAGATTGAGTAGATTGAAAATTTAGCAATACAAAAAATTTGGTTGAAAATTCAAAAAAACATAATAAAATATTGAGTGAGTGACTTAACCTACTTTATAAATGGTTGAACCGTGCTTGTATTGAATAAGATGTACCGATGAGCTTGTACTCAAGAAGTATTATCAAGATAAAAGCTTGTGTTTTCACCAATAGCATGACCCAGATTATCAGCACCACTATAGTTCCTCACGGGTCGAGTAGATTTGGTTTCCACATCATTGAGATATTGTGCACAAAAATTCATGCATTCTTCCATAAGATATCCTTTAGCAATTGATCCTTCAGGATGAGCTCTATTACGCACGTATTGTTTCAAAGTAAGAAGGTACCTCTCAATTGGATACATCCATCGAAACTGAATCGCTCTACCTAATAATGCTTCATCAGCTAGATGTATAGGCAAGTGCTCCATTATATCAAAAAAACTCGGAGGAAATATTTTCTCTAAATGACAAAGTGTTGAATATATTGCAAATCCGTCGCACGATTCACTTTGGAACACAATTGTCTAAAGAAATTGCTCAATTTAATCAAGGGTTCAATTACATTCTTCGGTAACGATCTTCGAATAGCCAATGGAATAAGTTGTTGCATCAGAATATGACTATCGTGGCTCTTAAGACCCCCAATACTTCTATCGTGTGAGCGCACACGACGTGATATATTGGATGAATACCCGTTGGGAACTCTTACTTCCTTCAACACTTTCAAGAACAAATATTTCTCATCCTTGGTCATATTTATCACCAATTTTTTTAAAATAAATATAATTTGTGTCTTATTAATATCTAATCAGTTTAATTTTTTTCATTGACGGTTGAATAGGCCTTATGCTAATGTTTGTTTGTCGAATTAAATTAGATAAGTACTATGATTATGTTTATTTGTCAGATTAAATTGAATGAGATTATGAGTATAATGAGATTTTTTTTTTTTATCAGTAGAAATCCATTAATGGATGCCAAAAATGGCAAGTACAAGGGCCATCAAACAACCAAGCTTACACCAAAACAAAGTAAAGAAAATTACAAGAAGCACTCTGGAGAAAATATGAAAAATATTCAGACACACATCACGTTGTGCTCGGACTCATACTGCAAAAGCAGAGTCGATCAAAATCGACAATAGAGCCTGTCTGAATAAATCATATATTTCAACCACAAAGTTTGGAAAGCCACAATCCAAGCATAGATGACCACAAAACCATAAGCAAAAACCAAAAAAGACAAACAGAAAAGGAAGGACCTCCATCCCAAAATCCATGGCAAAAACTGGTGGTGGAGATGTGGTAACAGGAGCAGATCTGATGCCCAACACACGAAGGAGACGGACGATCCGACAGATCTGGAAGGGCGAAGGTGACGCCGACGAAGGACGGAGGACGAGATCGGCTGATCCGATGAGGCCCTGACTGGGAAAATCTGAGAAGAGTGAGGATGAAGAGTAGAGTTCCCACCAAGAAGGGGAAAAGGACGTCACATGGAGGGAGAAATGGAAAGACTAAGCTTCCAAAGTATTATTCAGCCAAAAGGACAAGAAAAACGAAAGAGAGGAGGGGCAGAAAAGAGGGGAGAGGCTGCCGGAGACCGGAGCCCCCCTCCCCCGCCCTGAGCTGCGCCTTCGGAAAAACCCTAGGAGAGGTAGAGAGAGAAGATAAAGAGGTAGAGAGAGAGTATAATGAGATTGAACAAAAGGGATTACTAGAATAGTAATATTAGGTCAATAGAGATTAAATCTATAAAATTATATAAAAAAAATTTATTTTATAAAAGATTATTTTATTATTTTTTTGGAGTGGAGGCAATGATGTCTTTCACCTCCTACCCCATGAATGGGGAATACTAATCAAAGTTTCATAATTTCACGACATCTTTCTAAATCAAACATAATTTTATAGGACTTGCGAATTAACTAAACCGACATAATTTATAAAATCAAGGATTCAAATTATAATCCACCGACAATAACTCTCTCATTGAATATAAAAAGAATATATCCAAAAGTATAATAGAACATTGTAGTAATTTGTTATTGATAAGATAGAGGGTATATTTATATGATGCAGCAACAGAGACCTTGAGGTTCGTTGTGTAAGAAGGAAGGAGTTACTTGAGACCTTGGAGAGAGAACTGCCACCTGGCACTATCCGGTATTCGTCTAAGGTTGTTTCTATTGAGGATTCTGGATTCCACAAATTGCTTCACCTAGCTGATGGTTCCACCATCAAAACCAAGGTAAACTTATTATATCCTCTGCTAATTCAATGTTTGTTTATCTTTCATTTTGTACTAAACTTTCATCATCTTTTGATGGAATAGAATAGAAAAGATTAGAAAAACTGAACTGACACTTTTTGTGGGGATTTTCAATCTATGTAAAGGTGTTAATTGGGTGTGATGGAGTGAATTCCGAGGTGGCGAAATGGCTGGGGCTTGAGAAACCAGTATATTCAGGGAGATCAGCAATTAGAGGGTTTGTTGAGTACCCAGATGGACACAACTTTCAGCCAAGGTTTCATGTCTTCTTTGGAGGAGGTGTGCGTTTTGGCTTTGTTCCTTGTGATAACAAGTGCTTGTACTGGTTTTGCACTTTCAATTCCTCTCTACAAGGTAAAATGTCTCTTCTTCCTCTGTTTCTTAAACCTCAATTCAACCTTCAAAAAATTGATTCAATTTGTTTTCACTAGCATTGTTTAATATCATGTGAAGTGGGCTAGACTGAGCTGGTATGAGTTGGGCTGTCACGAGCCTGGAATTGGGTCAGGCCCAATCTCACAGAGCATAGCCCACAGGTTGAGAAACTGAACCCAGCATTTGACCCATTCTTGGAGCGAGTATTCAAGTTTGGGTTGGGTTGGGTCTACTCAAGTTTAGCTCAATTATTAAACAAACTTAAAAATATAAGCTTGAACTTGTTCATTTCATAGCTTGACCACGTGAATATAAAACTCTTGGGCAAGTCAAAAACCCAAAATTAACTCAAAAGCATTGTTACAATTCAACCTCTCACTTCTTAATTAACTCCATTTGCTTCTTCTCTCTCTCTCTTTTCTTTTTTTATTATTATTATTATTATTTTTTTGCACATAAAAGTTGTTTCCAAGTGTTGGAGAGCCTAATATTGTGGTTGATTTGATTCCAGATGATGCAGAAATAGAAGAGAACCCAGTTAAGATGAGGCAGTTTGTATTGGACAAGCTCAACAAAATCCCCAAACATGCATCAGAGGTTATGGAAAGGACACAACTTGACAGAATCTTCTGTGTTCCATTGAAGTTAAGACTACCATGGAATGTACTATTTGGGAACATTTCCAAATCCAATGTCACCGTCGCTGGCGACGCCCTGCATCCGATGACACCCGACATTGGTCAGGGTGGCTGTTCAGCCATAGAAGACAGTGTTGTTCTTGCCAGGTGCCTTGGGGAAGCCTTATTGAAAAAACCCAGAAAAGAGATCGGAGACAAAGAAGAATATGAGAGGATCAAGAAGGGGTTGGAGAAGTATGCAAATGAGAGGAGATGGAGGAGTTTTAGTTTGATTAGTACTGCATATGTGGTGGGTTTCATACAGCAGAGTGAAGGGAAGGTGGTGAATTTCTTGAGAGAGAAATTGCTGTCGAGTTTCATAGTCGATACTACGTGGAAGATGGCTGACTTCCATTGTGGCGAGCTCAATGTTTCTTGAAGTAATTTGAAGTTTTAAATCCATGTTTGTTGCTTGTTGATCAATAAAGATGATAAAAGTTAGTGTTTGTAGAGTTCGAAACTGGAATGCTTGACATGGGAAAAAGTACTCAGTTCATTAAAGAATAAAATACAGTGTTCATAATCAATTTTAGATTCTTTGTTGTTGAGAGGGTAATTTATGTATATAAATTGGGCCGAGTTGGGCGTTGGGCCGAGATAGGTCCAAATACAAAAGACAGTGGATACACCGGTCAAAAGGAGTACTACGGTTAGTTCGGTTGTCAGATTTGGCTTGGGGGTAGCTCGGTTGCGGCATATTACGGAGTAGTCCGGTCATCTCCTCTAACCAAAGTAAGAGAACTTCAGGGAAGTTTGAGTTAGTTCGGCTTGACACTTCTATGGATAGCTCGGTCTTAGCATTTGCAGCCAGGATAGAGGCAAGGAAGGGAAAAGCCGAACTAGTAGTCAGATCGGCCATACCTGCTTGTATAGTATGGTAGTGTTATTCCGGTCGTATGGTAGTTCGGCCATAGTAAAAACCATCCCACTTGGTTTAAGCAGTGGGGGTATTAAAGGATAAGCATTATCCTACAGGAGTATGAATCCTAGGAGGACTCTACATGGAGGAGTAGAAGTCCTACTAGGATTGTGCCACACGAAACCTATAAAACCTCACAAATATCACCTTTGGGGAGGTAACACACAACTTTGCTTTTTGAATACACAGAGCTTTTTCCTATTTGTCAAGCTTACTGACTTAGGCATCGGAGAGGTTTCCGGCACACACCCGCCGGCTAGCTCACGTTTGTGTTTTCAGGTGATAAAGCGACGACGTACGGAGGAGCAGACTTGGTCAATAGGATTATACAAGAAAGTTTATTTCTTTCCCGTACAGTTGTGTATTTGGCTCGATGTTCTTCACTAAAATTATCTATATGCGCAAAATTAAACTAGAGAAAAGTATCAAAGTTGTATGTGTTAGTTCAATTGGAATACCAATGAATAAGCACCTCTAATGATGAAGAAAAAAAAAATTCTAATGAGCCCTTTGACTTTCTTTCAGTTGATCTTGAAAGGTAATTTATTGACTAAATTTTTTTTATTTTGTTAAAAATTCTTAATTCATTTTACAAATTTAATTTTGACTAAAAATATGATTTATTGTGTGTGTATGTGTTCTTTTTTTAAAATTTTAATTTTTAATTTTTAATTTCAAGAGAGGCTAGTATAATTTAGTTTATTAATAATGTTTATGCCAAAAAAATGTGTATATAGCAAAATGAGGAGTGCGTCAAAAATCGAGAAAAAAAGAAGTGGCGACAGGAGAGGGGCGCAAAAACAAGACACCCCCTCGCCACTCAGAAAGTCGTGGTAGGAATGCCACACCCTCGCAACGAGAGAGCAGAAGCCTCAGGACAGGCGATACTCAATCCTGGTCTTTCAGAACTCGTCACTCCAAGTCTGAGAGAACGAGATCTGAAAGGTCATACACTGAAGGAAGCACATATTGGCCTTCACATTCACACCAAACCAGATCTAGACAGACAGAGTTACCCAGATCATCCGACTTACGAACCGTGCTCGAAAAAAAAGCACGATGCAAGGAGGATGCCAGGGCAAGGGATCCACACAGAGTTTCTGCCTTACAGCGGTTGGCTCCTCGGACTTAAATTGTTTTGTTTATAATTTTAATGATTATATGTGCAAGTAAATTTTTTTGTGGTT